GAAAGAGTGCACTTTGTCTGCTGTATAACTCTGTGTGAAAGCACTGTCAGCTCTTGCCTAACAAACAGCAAACTCCCAGAAGATCACATTCCTTATACAAGTCATAGAGTTTTAACATTTTTCATGGCTGTGGCATCATGATTAGCACTGGAAATAACAGAGCAGAAGTAAGAAGTAGGTCTAACAACGCACAGAGAAGTGTATGTGGTGTCTGGGGAGGGAGCAGGTTATCTACACCAGAAAAAAACAACCTCGAAAAAATTACCTAAACACATTTAATCCACCAAGCAGCAACAAGGAAATACCAGATCACAATCCCTCTACATCTGACAGACCTGACGATTATGAGAAAGGACAACACGTGAGAAAAAGAACAGCTTCCAAAAACTCCCCTTAGTAAAAATGCACTGCACCCACTACTAACACAACAGAAATAGGAAGTGGCTTTCTACATCTTTCCCTTAACTCAGACTACTCTTGGGCTGGCCTTTCTGATTTAGTTCAGCATACCACAGACTGACCTACTTCAGAACAAGTGGGTCATCATACAACTTTAAATCAGGAAGCCTAAACCCCACTCTTCTCTGCAAGCGAGAGTGTGTTTGAGTCAGAAACACTTTCTTCTTGTCCTCCTTCTTAGGATGGTACTTCATTCAGCTCAAGACAAGACAAATTTTTAGAACCTGTGTTGGCAGGAAGAGCCCAGGGTTCTCAAAATGGAGCTCTTCATTGTAACTGTATTAATTTTGCTTCATGCTGTTCAATATGGTTGCCACCAGCACTCTAGATAAGCACACATCGTGGCCTTTCAAAGGCTCTTGACCTATTGACTGATAGTGAGGTTCATAGTTCCCAACTTTCTGCTGCTCCTGCGAACTGCTGACATAAGCAAAAATGCACAGAGAGTAACTGGTCTATAAGTTATCTTTCCAGGCTGATAACATCAATACTTTTGATCTCCATACATAAAAGCTGACTATCTCATCCAGAGATAAGAACTGCTGCAGATCTTGGAAGATTGTCTCAGCATTTAATTTTTCTTTCCAATGTAGATATTTTTGAGCTCTCCATGGTGTGTATGCAGATTCTTTGAAGCTGGCCTTTCATGGCTTAGAGGCTGTGTGCACTCTTTGGATGCTAAAAACTATCAGGGGAACATTTTTGCCCCAGCAGTCTAAACATTTCCCTTCTAAAAGCATACACTAGTTTCCCTGAACTTGAAAAATAATTGTGTTTCTGCTTAACAAACAAGGTTTAGTGGTATCGACTTCAGCTCAGTGTGCTGTATCACGGAGTCCCTGCTTGAGTAGTCCTCAAGTAATTAGCTCTGTTTAAGTCCTTACCTTCACTATAGTTTTTACCTTTGCTGCCTGAAGTCTCCTTAGGTAATCCTACCTGTGCTACAACTCTGCTTCTCTTTTGTCAGAAAGACACTGTTAGTTACTATGTATTTATTTTGCAGATAGGCCTGTCCTGAGTGGCATTCCTAAAACTTAATCTCAGCATAGCGTTAGCTCTTTGCCCCCTGCTAAGGTGGTCAGCAATTTTTTCTAGTTACTGAATAGGAAGAGAGAAAATAAGGCCTTGATGCCAGTGCCTCTCTGGGGCAATCTGGATAGCAGGCACAGAGCTAAGAGGGATTGACTTCTGTTGTGACTCCACTGCTCCTGAATTTTCTGCTTATAGGAAGGAAAGGAGGTGAGAGCTGAGGCCTGATTTGGTTTATCATCTTCCAGTGTCACTAGTGCCTCCTAATCCCAGGTGATGACAAGCTTTGAAGTGTGCACATTCAGATGGAGATTTACAGCAAGAAAGTGAGGAGAGAACATGCTGAACCTCTGAGTACTGACGTCATGGAGCTTTGCAGCCTTTCCACTTCCCTCTCTCCTGTTTAGACTGGGGATGCATTTTCCCTTTCTGTCTCTCATGAAAAGCAAACAAAAAAAATATTATTGGCATATGATTTGGAAAAATGATTGCTCAAGAATATTGCAATCATTGAGTCAATGATGCAAATACAACCCTAAAGCACTGATTTGAAGAGATGTTTACCGTGGAAGTAATAGCTGAACTGCAGATACTCATTTATGCTGTAGAGTAGTATCAAGCCTTTAAATTTGACTAAAAAAAAATAAATTAGACATTTCTAGTTGATGTTAAGCAAGGCTGCATGAATGTGTGTTTATGAAGAACAAAGGTGTTAATGTAGAAAGCAGTGTCCATGCCATATTGGTTGTTCATGTTACTTAAAAAAAACCCAGAAAAATATTTATATTCTGAAATTATAATCTGGGTGGATACACATGCTAAACAAATACAAAAAGCTGTTAAGAAAATAGAGATCACCAAGACTGGGAGTTGTTCAAAAAGTTATTTTTAAATGAGGTTGGTAGAAGTAAGTCAATGGAGTTGGAAAGCTGTTTGGATTATTTGTTTTCAATAAAAGTACTTCTTATCTGCCTCAAGACTTTCCACATACAAGTAAGATAAAAGGTTTAAACCTTTAAACAAACAAATGGGAATGAAAAACCCAGAGACAACTTTGTCCTCCAGTCATGTCCCAAAGTAAATCTGGAATTGGCCATTGTATTTTACTTCCTGGCTTTCAAAAATCAAAGGACTCTCTTCAAAGTGAAGCTGCAGGGAGCCATAAGGGTGTTTTTGGAAAAGTCCCATACTGTTAAACACTGACCAGGACTGTCTTCTGTTGACCCGTTGTCAACAATATGGGCTATGAGGAGATTTGCTAAATGAAATCTGTTCCCTGCTTTCCCTTCATGATCCTCTACAGTCATCTCCACATGATGCTTGTCATCTCCACAAAGCTTGACACAAATTTTTATTTCTATTGATCTTTTAACAATTCCATGTTGGTTATCTATTTTCAAATGTACGTTTTCCTCTGTCTTTGATGAAACGGTATTTTCATACTCATATCCGTCCTGAGTTTCTCTTCAAAAAAATTAAGCTGATGAGGTTTTTCTTTTTGAAACTTTGCCTGCTTTCCTTTCCTTAGTAATCGACTATTTGCTTTTCAAATAGCTTTCATATATGCTATGATGTTACTTCAAGCTTTTTAGCACTCTGAATTTTATAAATTTTAGTGCATTCTAGCAGTTGAAGATCTGATGCTTTCCTTTCTATGGCATAAATTGGAAGCCCTTGCAGCTCTGTATGAATGATATAGTGTGAGCAGTTCTAGCTGATGGCATTCAGGGTAGTCAGGATGAGCTGACTGTGAAAACTGCAGACAAGCCTTGCAATGCTATGTTGAAGGACAATAAAAAGTAGATAAAACTCAATGGGGATAATTATAAATCTATGCAGCTGGGAGAAAGCAAATCTGTTTGTATAAATAGGGAAAGGCTATGACTGCTCTGGGAACATCTTGCATTTATAATGGATAGTTCTACTGAAATAAAATAACAGTAAAAAGCTCTTAACAATATGAATTCATAGAAGAGAATTGAGAGTAGGAAATAAAATAGTGCCATCCTGCCATATAAGCTCATGGTGACCTGCTCCCTCACAGGAGGCCTTGGCTGGGGAGTTGAGACTTACACCTCGGCTGTTCAACCACGTCCTGGTCCTGCCCCCGGCTGCGGACCTACCGGGGCCAGCAGTCGGCTCCCCACACCAGGCCCACTATCGCGTTGATGCCAAAAGCCGGGCGGGGGAGGCTTGAAAAAACCACTACCGCATCTGGTACAGCCGCCTCGGGCCGAGGAATGGTTCGGCCGTGACCGCTAACTGCCGCACCAGCACCACCACCACCGACCGGCCCTTCCCCGCGGGGGGCGCATGCGCTGTTTGGTCGTTGCTGTGGGAACGGGCCGAAGCCCGGGGCCGGCAGCGGCGGAGGATGAGGCTGAGGCGGCTGTTGCTGCGCTACTACCCGCCGGGTGCGGAGCAGGGCGCGGGGAGGCCGGCCCGACTCCCGGCCCAGACAGGAGCTGTGCCGGCTTGGCGGGGCTGTTTGAGGGCATGGGGGCTGCCGTTGGCAGCGGGTGGCGGGCGGGTGTTTTCCTCAGGTGCGCACTGCTTCTCTCAGCGCTGTCATGGGCTAGGACAGAAGTCATGGGGGTAGATCCTGCACCTGGACTGAGTTCAGGTGCGGGTATTTTGGCACGGCGGTTGGTTGAGAGACTGCCAGTTGGGAGCAACTCGTCACAGATTAATGATTTTTTGTTGCGAAATCAAGGCAGTCTTATTTGCATCGCAGTAAGAAGTTTAAAAAGTCAAAAGTGACAGTAGTCAGCACACAAAAAATGTGTATGCGTTATCAAAAGGCTTGCTTAGCAAAAAGTTTTCACACTTCTTACTTCCTTTCTTTGTTTTGTGACTTTTTTGAGCCAAACCATGCTTTGGAAAGCTATCCTGCTAAGCTGTCTTCCTCATTCATCATTGACTCAGTCAGGAGACTTGAATTTTCAGAAGTGAAATGAGATGAAAACGGCCAGCTCAGGAAGTGTATTGTAGTAACAGATCTTTCTTTCACATTAAATATTTTTCTTACGGACTTGGTAAAATGCAAAATGAGAAAAAATTAATCTAAACTATCCTTTCCCACAGAAAACCAAGGAACAGCATAACTCTTTTTTAACTACTGTTTCAAAACAGGAAGCAATGTGGTTAAACATTTTAATACTTTAGCTCAGTAAATGGTGCAGAGGTGAAAGACCACACCAAGACATGGAAAGTGTGTTACAATTTTCTATGCATTACTGCACACAGATCTTTGCAAACAGCGAAGTAAACATGAAATTTTTAAAAAAACCATGTTTTCCAGGCTTCTTGGAAAGAATAGGTCTGCTGAAGTCAGTGGAGCAAAAAAAGTGGAAGCATTGCAGTCTACAGTGCATGTTATAAAATCCCTAATATCTTATTAAGATTTATTTTTTTAAAGGAATTATCCTGGAATATGTACAAAATGGTGAGCCAAAGACCAGATCTATAGATCTACTTGATCTTCGACCTGAGTAAGTATGATATTATTTCAAATAACAGCACTCTCTGCTGTTCTATACCATGCTCAAAACCAACTCTATTAGATTGTTTTAAACATAATTGAGGCCACCTATGTCTTTGCTAAAACACACACAGAAAAAAAAATAACATAGTCAAATAGTTATCTTACTATTTTAATTACAGAATTTTACATTCCAGTTTATTACAATCATGCTTTTCTGTTCAGAGGCCAAGCCTCTTTTTGCCTATAGAGTTATGATTATCAAGATGCCTGTAGAAAAGCAGCAGAAATATACAGTGCTTAACATTGTAATGTTGTGATGAATGACAGTTAGTTCTTAGGACCTGTCATAGTATTTCTAGTCTTCAGAATGTTTTCAAAAATTGTGTCTAACTCAGCCCTCAGTTACATTGGTTTAAATGACCTCTGTTGAAATCACTGAAAATAATGACTAGACATCTGTTCAGATCTCTCTTGTTAATTAATTAATCCTCATAACAACCATAGGTAATGGGGTGTAAAATAGGTAAGTGGTTCACTCCCATGTGTTTGTGTGGAGAAACTAAGCATCTGCATCTGCTGCAAGTAACATAAATTTTCTGGTTGATGAATTACATGAGCTTGATATATCTAAAAATCATCAGTTGGCCTAAATGAAGAATTAAAAATACAATCTACTCCAAAGTTTAAAGTTTGACAGGAAATTGTTAGGTAAGATAGAAGGCAGAGGTTATTTCATGAGGATGAAAGTGAGACTTGCTATGCGGAGGACAATCCTCAATCACATCTGGCTCTGGTTGTCAATTAGTTGGAGGACACCAGTCTTGAACTCTCCTATGTCTTCCTTATGAGGAATAGGATGAATCTGTTGTAATGAGAAAGTTGACTTAACAAGTTATTATGCTGAATTAGCTTTAATACTGCTACATGTAATATTTTTCACCAGTGCTTGAGAGGTTATTTGACTGGCTGTTTTGCGCCTTTAGTGGCAATAGTGGTATGTCACAGAATCAAAGAATCGTTTAGCTTGGACTTTCTGAGACCATCTAAAACAGGGTCAGCTAAAGCAGGTTGACCAAGACCATGTGTAGTTTGGTTATGAATATCTCCTGGATGGAGACTCCACAACCTCTCTGTGAAACCTATTCAAGTGTTTGACCACCCTCACAGCAAAAAAGTGTACTTTTGTATTCAAGTTGAATATCCTGTGGCTTTTTGGGGGGGTTTTTCGTTTCTGCTCATTGGGTCTTCTCTCAGTGGGCAGTACTGAGAAAAGTCTGGCTCTTTTCTACTTCATTCCCTCCCATCAGCTAGTTGTACAGATGAAAAGTATGGAACTTTTCACAGATTTGAATGTCATATCTGGTGGATTTTTTCACAGAACTTTCCATACTGTCTGATGCTAGCCAAAAAGATTATGAAGTTTTATGCAGCTCTCAAACTTTCTTCTGCTTTCCTCCAGCTAACATCTTCCTCTAGACACTCAAAAGATGAGAGCCTTAATATGGTTTTGGTCGTAGTAGTCAGCCTATATGCTCAACTCAACTCAAAAGCATCAGAAAAAGGAAAAAAATGCCACCATTAAATTAAGTTGCCAAAATCTGTGAAGTTTATTAGGCAGCATAGAATGGAATAATATGATTGTCTTAATACCAACATTGATACGAGAAAGTCCTTACATGTAGGCCAAAGTTAGTAGATAATGTAGGCTGCATGTGCAAGACGATAAAATCAAATTTAAAAATTATTAATTTTTGTCTACCTGGAACTGTGTAGCTTAGTACTCTGGATAAAACGTAATAAGTCACTTTGCGAAAGTCACTTTTGTTAAATCTCACTGAACAACTCTAGTAAGAGAGAGAAAGAAGTGTAGAAAGAAAGATTTATCCATATTTCTTTAAGCTGTTACAGAATGAGATAAGTGCGTATCATTGAATTGCTTACTTGTTTCTCTGCAAGTAAATAATATTCTTGCTTTTATAATAATAATTATTGCCAGAGGATGAAATCTGGTGGTTTTGGTGGGGTTTTTTGTTGTTGTTGTTTGGTTAGTTGGTTGGTTTGTTTTTCCTCATAATTAACACAGATGCCGTAGCCTTAGTAGAAGAAATACAAAAAGGAGAACCTCTCATCACAGCTTTGTACAAGGAACACATCATACATTTAGTATGAAGATTGCAAGAGAAGCTAGGGGAAAAAGATCAAAAATTCTATCTTTTTCAGGGCAGAGTAATCTTTAAAATAATTTGAGGGATTTTTGGGTGTTTCAGTTGTGGTGTTGTGAATATGTTTTTACGGCTGAATATTCTGCAAAATCTGGATATTATGACGAATTTCTCAGCTCTTTTCAATCACCTCTGCACTGTTCAGAGTGACTGAGTCTGGCCTTGTTATGTCTGGCAGGAATTCCCCCAAAAGGCTGAGAGGTATAACTGTTCCCAGGTGCTGTTTATACAGGCTTATGTACGAGTGTGTTATTGTATTTTGGATGGAGAGAAATAATATTCTTATTTGTCAGATATGAGTCTGTGGACCAGCAACATACATAGTTATGTTTAAACAGAACATGTAAATAGATCCCAAGGAAATTAGATGCTGGGAAAGGCCCAAAATATTTTCATACTCTTGTCTACTTTTTCTTCATTTTGTGACAATTATGCCGCTTTATGTAGTCTGCAACAAACAGTAATACCGATTGTCTCTACTTTCTGCCGTTACTATTATGTTTGAATTTTAGTACTTTGATGTTCAGCTTACATCCAGCACTTAAAAAAAATTAAATTAATAAGCTTTTCAAGAACAATTATTAGAGAGACCTTTCAGAGCTTCAGTTCCAGGATTCAGTCTGTCAAAAGAGAATAGGTGTAACTGTAATTAATTGTGGAAATGAAAATACAATTACTTTCAGATATTGTGTGTTGCAATCTGAAATAATTAAGCGTTGTATCTTCATTTTGTCAGCAGGTGGCAATGTGTAGCTTTTAAAATTGCTGAGCAGTGCCGTGTGAGTGTTGCCTTCAATTTAGAGAGAAAAGGAAGAAATCTTGTGTTGGTTTGTTTGGCTTAAAAACCCCCCAAACCCTACATGTTGCTACGTATAACTTGGGTTCTTCTACAAAGATCTGTGTATTTAACCTTGAAAACAGAGCTATGTCATAAGGCATCTTAAGGTTAAAAAGTTAATGTCTATTTTAAGCTGTGCTCTCAATTAAGATAATGCCTTGCTTTTCACAAGCTTTAAAAATTGTTTGTTAATCATATAGACTGACAAATCAATGTAAGTAATGTATTTGTTCTTTATTGGGTATAGTGCCACATTTGAGCTTCTGTATTTGGAAATAGTAAAGGCAGGCAAACCTAATCAGTGCAGGCTTATTTCCTTCACTCAAGAGCCATTAGAAGTGTGTGAGAAGAACTTGGTTTATGTTTCAGTGCCATTTAATGCTTGTAAATGCAACATGATTATCAGGTGCTTCTGAGATACAAGGGATACAAGGGAGTGAGATTTTTTTTCCCCAAAACAATGTTCCATGTGTTTACTTTGTTTGGAAATGAGATTTTTTTCCTGTTCCACTGGAGCATAATCTTAAGTGAGTGTATAAACCTATTTTTTAGTTATTTCCAGTAATTGTGTTGATGGTGTATGTTAGGCACCGTGCAGAGAAACAAGCTTTTTTAACAATTTCTCAGGTTTTAAACAATTACATAGAACTTGTATGCTGTAATGATTTGCAGATTTTTACCTTAGGGACTGCTGTATAGGATTTTGCAAAACCAAGGTATGTTCTTTTTAATATCACTTTAGGATTTTATTATTGTATCATTCGCACAAGCAATTCTTGCTGGCTTAGTGTTCTGTCAATGAAGCAAGTGCAGCACTGAGCATTGGAGGAAAAGAATTAGTCCTGTGATCTGAAATTGAACATAAACCCACCTCTTTTTCTTCCCTTTTCTCCCCATAATTGTTAAATATGTCTGTTGTTCAGAGCTGCCTGCATGGAGCCCTAAAAATGCCATGGATTGAATTTCCACAGATTTCCTTACTTAGCTATTCTCATATGTAGATATTTGTATACTGGGCTGTTTTTTAAAAAAAGCAAAACATTTTTGTCATTTCCACACCTTGACTGCACATTCCTACTGCTGTAGCTGAATGCAAAACTTTTACTTTCCCTGGAGAACAGAAATTACTGTTTCTCTCTCTCAGTTCTTCACTTGACCATTGTTGTTTCTCTTCCATTTTGATCAGTCCCTACTCTTCCAAGTAGATCTCTGAGCTCCTTTCATTTTCCTTTTGGAGACAGACAGCTGAGAAAGCTAGAGATAAGAACAAAAAGTTGAAGCTCTGGTAATATGTCAGTGATTAAATGGCATTGCTCATAAATAATTTTTTCTTCACTCTTACACTACAGAGAAGATCTAGTGGACCACAGCTGTACTTTTAACATCCCTTTACTTCACTGTCAGCAATTGCTGTGATTTTGCAGGTTATGATTTTATTATGCTTTAGACTCGAGCAGAAGCCAGCTTATAATAGGTGATAGTTGTTCAAATGCAAACACTGTTATACGGTAGCCACCTTATCCAAACACAAACTGGATTCTATTTTTTTGGTCACTTTCAAAGCATCATGGCACGCTGACTTTCATTGGCAGTATCCAAAACCATTATCAGCTATGTTTTATAAACCTTAATATGTATTACTATAGTTATGAGGTAATTTACGTGAAACATACTGTCTGATTAAAGGACCTGAAAAGCAATGTTAGAAAAATAGTGACCTCCATAACCTAGACAATACAGGCAGACATCAGATTTGAAATTCTCTCTTTGAATTTTGTCTTGATAAGTCTCTTCGTTATGGTTCTGCATGCCTTTTCTGATCTAGGGTTACTTTGCTGGTCTCAGAAAAGGTGGAGAAAAAACAATGAGAGAAAAGACAGTTCATTCAAGTAAAACATAAATTTGAAATCAATACTATATAATTGCAGTGGTAACCTGCTGAAGCATGGGGGACTTTTCATTTAGGGACTAATGTGTTAGAGGTTACAGCTGTAACTGCTAATCTGACAGGAGGAAAAATATTAACCCATTGAGTATTTTGAGCAATTGTAGTTTGTTTTTTGTTTGTTTGGGGGTTGGTGTTTGTGTTTCTTTCTTTCTTTCTTTCTTTCTTTCTTTCTTTCTTTCTTTCTTTCTTTCTTTCTTTCTTTCTTTCTTTCTTTCTTTCTTTCTTTCTTTCTTTCACTGCATCAAGTATTGTTTTCTTCTCCTTCCCCTGCTTCTATTTCAGGCACTTAAAACACATATATTGCCACTGATTAATGCAGCATTTAACAAGTCTGGTTCCCGGTAAGTTGTTTTCAAAGTCAAAATAATAATCGCCAAAGTTTTGTATTTGTAAATTAAATTGTAAGGGAATTTCAGTGCTCTTATCTTGCTGCAAAAGGAATTCAGTTTTGGTGCTTATAAGCAGCTTCAAGCTTGACTGAATAGGATAGGATTTCAGGCCTTGGTGGGAAAACCAATGGCAGATGCAAAAAAGCAGCAGGTGAGATTCAGTTTATGTATTTTTTTTCCAAGGTGATAGTTTGTTGACAATCAGTATATTTCAGAAAGAAGCACCTTTATGGCAATAAAATGAAGATTACTAAAAGCTAATGATGCTTTGACATAAATTCATTTTGGACTTCAAGTACAGGGGAGTTTCATGTTAATTTATTTCACTGTGGGCATATGCCTAATCATTTTTCCTTCATTTCTTGAAAGTAGCAACTTGCTTTTTAGTTGGCATACGTTACAGATTAGAAACCTTTTTTATGAGTAATATTTTAAAAAAATAAAAGAAAAGGAATCTCTATAGTCATTAATCTACATTTTTGAAAGAAAGAAGAGATTTAGGATCTGAGACAGTACTAACTGAAATCTGTGAAATAACTCATTTGACTATGCACCAGGACCAGTAAGAAATATAACTTATTCAGAGATTAATTTCTCTTTGCTTTAGCTTTATCACTGGAAGCTATGATAGACCCTGCAAAGTATGGGATACTGCATCAGGAGAAGAGCTACATATGCTGGTGGGACACAGAAATGTTGTCTATGCAATAGCTTTCAATAATCCATATGGGTAAATATATTTTCTCTGCAATGCATCATAATTGCTTATCATGTTATTTTGCAAATGCAGAACTGTTACTCAAACTTTAACATAAAACGATCTGAAATAAAAAGAGTTCAAATTCTTAATTTGTAAACATCAACTGTAGCTAATCACCACACGATGACACTGTATAGTGTTTGTATAAGAGACACATTCAAGCATGTTTTCTGCTGTATTTTTTTAAATTAAATTAAGAAATCCAAAACATGAACTTCATCAGATATTCAGTATCTTGAAGAAGACATATATGAATCAGTTTAAGAACTTGAAACACAGATTTATTTTGATGATTTCTACATGATCAGATTGTGTTCTGAATGTTAATCATTCTTTATCACCTCCATGTAATTGCATGTGATGTCAGATATAAGTACTTATGACAGCTTGTGTTGCTTCAGTTAAGGAGAAAGAGCATTTCTGTCATAACAAAAGCAGATTTCACCATTTGGTCTTATACCATTATTATTTGTGACGATTTAGAAGTGTCAGAGCTGTTGAGTAATTTTTATGAAATCCACAGGGTGCTGCTGTATGAATGTTGAATATTTATTGCTGTGTCTTTTGTTTTCTGCAATACCTGGGTTACAGTTACCACCTGTTAGGTGAAGGGAATTACGTGTTAGCTAGTGAAGTTTCATTGTCATTTGCTTCCTGAGGAAGCTGTTGTGTGTAAGTAAACCATTTTGCTTCTCTGCAAAATAAGACAAATTAAATTCTAGTTTTCTGTTGAAGCACATTTACTCCTTTCACTGTCAGATGTCCTATTTATCAGTTAAGCATTACACAGTTAACATCAGGAAATAAATGTTAAAGACTTGTTCTTACACTATTTGGAGCATCAACATTTCCTTCTAAATGAACAAACTTTATCCAACCTAGAACCCACTAATTCAATGTCTTCTGTTCTAATATTCTTTACTTTGGAAAAAAAAAGATATTACTTTGAAGAAACCAATGTATGACAAAAAAATCTGTGCAAAGATCAAGAACTAGACTGTAACATAAAAGTGGAGAAGCCATATGTAGTAAGTAAAAACCTGATAAGCTACTTTTAATTTAAAAGTTCAGTAAAAGCAGTTCAGCAGTTTTTCCTGTTAATCTTTAGGTTTTGATACAGTGCCCCTTGCTACATTTTCTGGGTACCTCTATTCAGTCTTGCTTTAACTGCAGTTGGTCACAACACTTCCACTGACTTCAGTGGGAGTGGAGTTTGACCTCTGAAATTTGGGTAAACTGCTTATAAAAAGAGTTTGTAACTGTTGATAAACTAACAGATGCTATCTAATGAAATGACATGACTTTCAAATACATCTGTAAGTACAGCAAGTAACCTCATCCTTAATGATAGTCATCAGTTATGAACACTTCTGTGCTAATAGGTAGGCACAGTGGCTTTTTTGGAAACTAATTATGTCTGCTAATTTTTTTCCCTTGGTGTAACTTCTGTTTATGAAATCCTGCTCTGGAAGCTTGCAGTGTGGTGGAATGCACCAAAATGCACGGAAGGTTTGATGAGTAGCTATCGTTTCCATGACTTTTACCGTCTTTGAAGTCAGAAGTTGGTTTTTTCTTCCAAATAAAAATGACAGGATTTTTTCCATTTAGTGACAAGATTGCCACTGGATCTTTTGATAAAACCTGCAAACTGTGGAGTATGGAAACAGGAAAATGTTATACTTTCAGAGGACATATTGCAGAAGTAGTGAGTACTGATGGACATTTCTTATTCCTTTATGTTTCCACACAACATAATTGATGGCTGTGGGTTCCAAGTCCCTGTGAGCTGACACTGGAAGGGCCATCCATTGTGCTGCATCTGTTCACACTTTCACACATTCAGACATTGTGAACGTCTCTACACTGCAAGAAAAGACATTCTGACAGTTCTTAAGAAAAATAGGAAAGCATTGTTATATAGCTCAATAATATATTTTTATTTTTAGTTTGTTCCAATCGCCTTGTTTGCTAAATGTTAAAACATTTTTTTAAAATGTCGTAACAATCAGAATTTTCAATTTATTGCACATATTTTCCCTTGATGTGTTTACATATCTCACTTTTTTCTAGATATCTCGCATTGTCTCTCATATTTGCACCACTGAATACACAAGAATATCATTGCTTGTATGCTGTCTTTCATGCTGAGATCTGTACTTCACGTACAGGACCAATTTGAGCTATGGAAGAATGAATTTCTGAAATTTTAAGTGTGTTAACTGAGAACATATGGGATGCTGAAATGTCAAAGATATATAAAAAGAAAACAGTTTCAGCTTAAAAACGGTTGGTTTTCTTCCCAATGCATTAGGAGCCCCATTTGCAATAGCAAATATCTTAATGTACAACATTCCAACTTGAAAGATCGGGGCAAATCCAGTGAAACTCTGAATTTCAATGTGGATTATATTTTTTAACAAAAATAGTTATACAATCATTATTCAATAAAGCAACACTGGAAATTGTTTCTAGAAACAATTGAAGTTTAATTTGTAGACTGTGAGGCCTATAACTAGTACGAGAAAGTGTTGGTTTACCTTGGTGGAAGGTGAGATTGGTTTCAGTGGGTTTTTGATTCTCTGGATACTTTGAAACATTTATCCCCTACAATGGATACATGTTTTCTTCTTGAGACAGGTTGCAGTGATATTGCTTTCACAAGTCAGTAAGCTAAATATTTAAAGGCCTCTCAATTTCTCCTGACTTCTGTAGGGGTTAGATTAGACCCAAAGTGTTAAGAGTTGTGCTAGCTAGTAATTAGTAGAAGATAATACCAGCAGAAAACTATGTGTTTCTGTGAATGAAACCTGTTTCTGAAGGACCGTTATTGCATATGATACATAGCTGTCAAGGGCATGTCCATAGTTATTCAGTATAAGAAAAAAGAAAAAAGAAAAAAGAAAAAAGAAAAAAGAAAAAAGAAAAAAGAAAAAAGAAAAAAGAAAAAAGAAAAAAGAAAAAAAATGGGACACAGTGAAAATGCACCAGTGATCTCAACTACTGTTTTCCTTTTCACATGGCACCTCGTAGTCTTTATTAGCAGAAAACTGAATAATTACAGAGAATGGGGAGAAGAGTACATGATTTTTTATGTGAAAAATTAATTAAGTTGTTGAGGTTTTGTTCTTGCTTTTTCGTAAATAAATATGACGTTGTGGGGATGCCCTTGGCAAATGGCCTAGATAATGATACCTGTTAAGATAAGAGTGTGAGTGTACATAGTGTGTCTGTGAGTACACAAAACTGTCTGGAGAGTCTTTTCCCCAGACTGATCAAGTTAAAGAAGAAGCCTACCAAATGTTAGTGTCAGGTACTACTGTCAGTCGGATTGAACAGTAACTGGAGAATCTCAAGGAGAATTTTGAAATAAGAAGTAGAAAAGCCTGAATAGAAGTATAAAAGAATCGAGACAATTTATAACAGGGTGAGGGAGACTAATGTCTGGCAGTAGCAGTTGTCAAAACTTGCTCTGGTACTTCCAGATGTCACCTTGGGCATGACAATGTCTGCCTAGACCAGAGAGTGTAGCCTTCGTCTTGGAGACACCATGAAAAATCTGCATCTGGTGCATGTGTTATCAGTATGGGGTTCAAAAAAAATGCCCCCTTGTCCTCCCTGTAACGTGTGCATTTGCGAATTTGGATGCCTTCTTTCTGGCGTGTGGATCAGCAGACTGTAGGAAACAGCATGTGTTCAACTAAACCTAGAGCACTCCTGTCTCCTAGGGAAGGTGTGTGCAAGTATGGGAACATACACTCCTAGGAAACAGGGGTGTACTTGTGGGTACTCATCCTATGAGAGGGAACGAGTGTGCATGCAAGGGTGTGAAAGTGTGTGTACACAATTAAAACTTCTTGAAGTTAGAGGAGGAGGTTTAGAAATTAGAAGCTTTTTTAAGATTGCATAAGTTTAATTTATTACAGATACCGATACTGAATAGATAGTTCTCTGCCAGTTAACTATGCACTGTTAATAGATGAACAAACTGCTTCAGGCTTGATTTTCATTAAAACTTTGTAAACTAAATAATTTCTCCTCGTGACACAAAATGAAGCACCTAGATAGTGAATTCTAATCCAGGTTCAGAAAAAAATACAGGAAATATTCCAATAAGTCTTTTTAATATGTTGCCGTTGCAAAGCAACCAATTAGTCCGTTTGATTTGAGTAGTCATCCAGAGCAATGCTATAAGGATTTGTGAACTGTTGGAAAAACTCTGCAGTTTCTCTGTATGCCATAAAATATTAAGTCAGAGTTTTGTCTTATTTAAAACTATTAATCCTGACCTGTTGTTTTTGAGAAAATGTATATAAATACTCTCCCACTTTTTCCGTCCAGTGTTTCTTGCTACAGGTATGTTTATCATTTAATCTTCAGAGCACGTTGGTGGCAACTGGAAGCATGGACACCACAGCCAGATCCTTATGTTTTTAAGGATATTTCTTGCTTTCTTAGTTTTCTAACTGAGATAAATAACAGGTTGTTCAGTCTGGAGAAGAGGAGGCTGCAGGGAGACCTTATTGCAGCCTTTCAGTATTTAAAGGGGGCTTATAAGAAAGATAGGGACAAATTTCTTAGCAGGGCCTGTTGTGATAGGACAAGGCATAATGGTTTTAAACTAAAAGAGGATAGATTTAGACTAGATATAAGGGACAAAGCTTTTACAATGAGAGGGGTTAGACTAGATAACCTTTCAAGCTCCCTTCCAACCCAAACTATTCTATGATTCTATGATCTGATTTCAGTATGTATCGGTGAACAAATGTGATTCTGTTTAAATCAAGTACAGAAAATATGCACTGATGACATCACTGGACAATTGCTCACTGCTTAAGTGATGTGCTTGATTTTTTTTCAGTTGTTGGAATAGTGACTATTTCACAGTCCAGACCTTTCTCTTGAAATTGTGATATACTGGACAAGAAAGTAAATAATACATTGAAGGGTTATAGAAGGATTATGCTGCTGAAAAAAAGCTACATATTGAACTATATTAATGGAAAAGTTATATTTGCATTCTCATATTCCTTTTAAAAAATTCTCTTAGGGGCATTCAGCAGAAATTATTGCATTGTCTTTTAACACCACTGGAGATAGGATTACCACTGACTCCTTTGACCATACAGTAACAGTGTGGGATGTTGGCACTGGGAGGTACTGAAGTATTAATAAATATCATCTTATGTTGGATGTTTTAATGGTAAATGAAAAAAGCAACGTTGAGATACAAATTACAGACCTTGTATTTTTCTTTCATTTAGAGTATGCGTTCCTTCATCTTATCATTCGATACCCTGTTCCCTTCATTCTTCTGAAAATGAATGCTGCTTACCCTAATGGCTTTTGTATACATTTTTTGTTCTAACTTTCCATCTCATGAGCGCTGAGGAAACAGACAGAATGAACAGATCCTGTGTTTGTGGCTGATGAATTCTCCAAATAGAAAAAAATCTTATCAGCATGGAAACTCATGGTTTGGAAGGTATCTAGAATTTCCAGATGGAACAGGTTGTTTAAGTAGAAAGAAAGTACATGTTATGTCATAGAAAATTAGTCTGGTCACCTTGTCTTTAGAAAACATTGAGGGTCTGTTTTCCTTCTCACACTTCTTTATGTGAGTATAAATGTATAAAGATGAGAGAATTTGGCCTCTCTGACTCTTGAATACAACGCCAAGAAATAATAATGTAGTAGCTGGTGTTTTCCTGGTAAATCCACTGGAAACTTAGGATATGTAGAATAATAAAATCATTGACCTGACAAAGTAATTTATGAAGATAGCAATTATGTTTTCAGAGGTCATGTTTTTTTTGTTTTTGTGAGAGCAAAGGGAATATCTTTGAAATTCATATATAAAAGGAAAGTGTGTGTATAGTGATATCTTGAGGTAATAAACAATGTGTGTAGCTTCAAAATTAGAGTAATCATGATTTAAAAGTAGGTTAAGAGAGGTTCTCCTCCCCCTCTACTCTACCCTGGTCAGACCACATCTGGAATATTGTGTCCAATTCTGGGCCCCTCACTTCAAGAAGGACAGGGAACTGCTTGAAAGAGTCCAGCACAGAGCCACAAAGATGATGGAGGGAGTGGAGCATCTCCCTTATGAGGAGCGGCTGAGGGAACTGGGTCTCTTTAGCTTAGAGAAGAGGAGACTGAGGGGTGACCTCATTCATGGTTATAAATTTGTAAAGGGCGAGTGTCATTCAAGACCCGCCTGGACGCGTTCCTGTGTGACATGGTCTAGGTGATCCTGCTCTGGCAGGGGTTGAACTGGATCATCTTTCAAGGTCCCTTCCAACTCCTAATATTCTGTTATTCTGTTAAAGAAAAAATTAACTCATAGTACATAATTTAAAGCTTGATCTTGTAAGTTTTGAGCTTATTCAACACCAGAAGTTTAATGTTTGGCATGTAAATACTTTAGAGGCACTAATTCAGCAAATCTGACCTTTGCGTTCAACTTTCTTTAGGCTGGTGTTGTAGGCTGTTTTTTGTTTGAAAACAGCTTTTTCTTCCAGCTTCTTGTCTGACCTGCAGTGAAGTTACAGTCATGGGATTTTCATGTTGCATGCTTTTTTTCTAAGACATGAATGTGGACTTCATATCAGGGTCAGCACCAGGAAGAGTAATATGAGAATAGGAGAAAAATCTTGTTTAAGCTCTGGCAGCTCTGGTAATTGGCTAGTGGACAATATAATGGTGCCAGGGCCAGCATCCAACCTTTAATATGATAGTTAGGCATGTATACATCTAGGAATAACAGTAAGTTGCAGTCAGAAAGACTGACCAAATCATACATTTCTGTATACAAGTTCAGCTAGATTCACAAAAATCTTGTAGGTGAGGCTGTGTGCACCTCTCTTTCATCACATGAGAAACACTGAATTTGAACTTGAAGTTACTTTGAATTTTGCTGGCTGATTCTGATGAATGTTCCTCAGTTTTTTTTGCTGGGTAGTATCCGGAATTGTCCTGAGGGAAGTTGATATAAGGACAAAAAAGCTCAAGAAGGTTCCAGATTTTCTTCATAAAATGTTAAAAAAAAGCGTGCAATGGGAACATGCTTTTGTAGTGTAGGTCTGTGTTTCATCAGTAATTTTCCAATGGCAGATATGGTCAGCTACAGTTCAGTTGAAGGTGTCTACAGAGCTTCATTTGACAAATCAGCAGCTGGTAACTGGGATCAGGCGTGCTGGACACCAGGATACTGAGAGACAGTTTCTTCTTATTTGCAATTA